GAGTTTGACCCATAGGTAAGGCTGCAGAGTTTATGACTTGACGTTTTGCTGACAGATTGTTCAGGATGTTCACATTTGCAGGAGCAGGTCCCACAGGACGCAACGGTTGTGATATACTACTCACTATAGGTTTCAAATCTGGCCCATTCTCATTGTTTGAGATCATGTCTTGAGAAACAGAAGATGGTGAAGAAGTCTGCAACGGGACTCCTTGGGAAGCAGCACGAACAACAGACTGAATGTGTGGAAAAGTGGGTCCAGAAACCATGGAACTTACAGTACTTGGCTCCTGAAGATTTGTTTATGAGATCAAAACCATTCTAAGATACCTTAAAGTAACAAAATTGAAATGGAAAACAACCATCATTTCCATAAAGTGGAGCAAGAAAATGGAAATATAAATGAATCTTACCACTTTTATAGTAGCAGGAGGCATGTTTCCAACAGGAATTGGTTGCCGGTGCATAACAGATCCATTCACTATGGATAAGAAAAATGATGTTAGTCTTCTTCAATGACAAATTTCTTCATCTTTACTTTTTTTTTTTTTTTTTTTTGCCATTTTCAAATTTGTGTTCATTTACATGAGAAATTAATTAAAGTGCAAACATCGGCCATGAAAGCACTAATGAACAAAAAGAAAGCATAATAAAGGAATCCTTTATTGAATTCCAATTGTCAGAAAGCATGTTATCAAAGCACCTATAACTGGGTAAAATAGCTTTATCCACATGACGAAAGTAAAAAGTGCAGAACAAATAAGAAAAATTCAAAGCATGCAAGTTAATTGATATTTTTGTTCATAAATCAAACTCAGGCGATAAAAGGGAAAGGATCCTAAAAGTATAAGGAAGTTGATTGAAATTTATGACATATTGACATACACCATATTACAAAAAGAATCACCAAATTGCCCACAATACATAACCTGATGGCATAGAAGTTGGAGGTGGCCCCGTAACAGAAGGAACAGAAGCCATGTCCATTTTTACAGGACTCTGATTTGATGGCAAACTTGGAACTCTGAAAGCAGCACGAGCCTCCAAAAAATTCTCAGACAGTAGAACAAGAAAATAAGGGTTTTTTGCATTATCTATAGGAGGATCGTTTGCTCGGGGATTGCGCTTTCCCTGTATTTAAAAGTGAAAATTCGGGGGAAGTTAATTTGAAGATTATCATCCATCGACATTGAATTCAATGTGCCCAAAAAGCTAACACTTCTACATGGTAGCTCAAGCCATTTATTTTGGAGTCTCAGGTCACATAAGACATGCAAAAACGTAGGGAAGGAATTAGCAGATTGAGAGACGTGATTGAGATAATAAACACATCCTGTTTACAATTTGGAAAGCTTTGAAGAAGAGGAAGATAAAGAATAAGAAATTCAGTTGATGTATGGAATGTTACCGCATTGTATATTGCTCGAAGCTTAGGAAGCTGCTTTGGAGAAACGACTGACAGAGAAACCAAGCACTGCAGGGAAAATTAGAAACTCAACAACTGTGATGTGCAACCCTTGTGGAGTTAAAAAAAGGAAAAGAAAATGCTGGCAGACTAAGGAAAAATAACTACTTGGTTCTTTTCACAACTCAAGTTCTTTTGCTACAGTGTTTTTCTCACAAAAATTCAAATTCAACTTTTTTGCTACAGTGTTTTCTCTCACGTAAAAAAGTTTGAGTCATGACTTGAGTTGTGGAAAGAACACGCCCGTAACATTACCTGAGCAAATGATTTAGCAATGGTCTCAGCGTCAGATAGACGGTTTTCTGTTTGTCCGTCAATATTTTCACTCTGTTCTAAGTTTTGCACTTGTGGTCGAAAGACAGGAGTGGACAGGGGGTGAGGGTTACTTGCAGAAATAAGAATACAATGCCTTTGATAATCCATATTTGGTTGACTCTGATTTCCATTTTGCACAGAGGGAAACATCTAAAATATTCAATAGAAAAAGAAACGTTGTTAAAAGCCGGAAAATGGACACAAATAAGGTTCCTTCAAAAAAAATAAAAAATAAAATAAAAACAAAAAAAATGTCACAGAAAAATATATGACACCATTAGAGCTTCAGAAAGCCCTTCCGCAATTGCAGCATCATTAAAACCACCACCAGAAAAAGGTATGGCTGAAAGCCACTGCAAATAATTATCAATGTCTCTGGTCCAGCCACTCCGCTGCACTAGACAACCTGCAAAATGGAAAGTAAAAGCAGAGTCAGATTCTCGGCTGGCTGTTCTATGAATTAGATAGCAATTACAAGGACATTCTCCATGCTAACTAAATTTCCTATTTTTGGATTCAATTCAAAAGTTTAAAAATCTAGAAGAACTATCAATACACTAGACATTTCAAGGAATTTTATGTACAAAACCTAATCTCTAACTTGTGACCACAAATACACGGGAGAAAATTTGTAGTTATTCTATGAAGTGAAATTCAAACACAAATGTCATGCATAATGGAAAATTTTCTTAGTTTTGCAGACTCAGTATGACCTTCATTGAAAATTTGTCTTGTAATGGAGCACATGAGTTGGAAGAAGCAGAAGAGAATCATGTGATATTCCTCAAAAATGTACCCGTTATGTTAGAATGCAATAAAATAATAACAATGAAAACCAGTTACTGGCATAATAGGAAGGTGAGGAAAATGCATACCGCAATAGGATCCATGAGTGTTGAATGTGACCAGGGCGAGCTCAACGTTAGAGTTAGATGTCTTCTGTGTTTGAGAAATGAAACCAATAAAAATCAATAAGAAATTCAGAGAACAGAAGGATAAATCTTACTTAGGAGCTTGCACATTATATACCATTGCTGGTTGAATGTCAACACAGTTTTGTGGTACCAACAGACATCGGACGTTCCGCATGAATGAGTGTTTTCATTTCATTCTAAATCATCGGACGTTTCCGCATGAATGAGTGTTTTCATTTCATTCTAAATCATAGATAGAGATTTTAGAGCTTGCATATTAATAACCACTTTATTTTTTTATCCTCCTTTTTTACCCTAGTTCCCTAAAGAAAAAGAAAAAAAACCACTTTTTAAATGGCAAAACTAAACCATTTAAAGGGGCAGGTATTTTTTTTTGGGCAATACATCTAAATGTGCAATTATCATATAGTATCTCTAAAATGTGCAACAAATAGTAGCATGGTTGTACTTGTACTGTAGAGGATTAGAGTAGTCAGTCAATATGATAGAGAATATGGAAATTGATGTTTCAGTCACATGGCAGTTTCTGTACCATGAATTAAAATGTTAAACGCAATTTTTTTGGTGGTAATAAAATCCAGACACTAAAAGGGCGGGAAGAGAACAAAGAAAGCCACAAGATCGTATAAGACATAACTACTAGCAAATGTTGGCCTACAATTCTGCTCAAGTGGCAAACATGGATTAGAATTTTCTAATTCAGGATATATTTTGAAGTGGTGGATGACTTTAAAAAAAATTATAGCAAAAAGAAAAAACTGACCTGCCCAACCAACTCATTCCCATAGAAACACCTGCATGCAAATCAGTTCTCCCATATAAGAACAGATACAATGTCAACTAAGCTGAAAATAAAGTAACAAGAGCTTAGTATTCATATGCATAGTTCTTTCCATAACTGTTATTCATTACAAAAATAGTTTCCACAACAACTTCTTGAACGTTGCCTTGCTCAATAGCCTGCAATTTTTGCAGAACTCTTTCTGCTTGCCAAACTAAGCAATTCAATGTAAAGAAACATATACAAAAAGAGAAATAAAGAGTAAATAAAATTCTGCATAGGTTCCTCGAAAAGTAAAGAAACATTTCAAAGATGCAGTCCCAGAATATTTAGGACGGACAACTATTATTAATTGGAGAATGAAGCCTATATTGGGTTCCAACTAAATTATCTCTAAGCATCATTGATTTTCTTATATGTCACATGATTGATTGCTTGACTATTTTCGGAAATATAGGAGTAGATAGGTTTAGTTATGGTTTATGCGTTATCAATAAGATTTAAATTCTAGAGTTTAAATTTTGTAGTATAAGATTAGTATTGTTAAAGATAGGATTTGGAGTTTATCTAGAAGAAGATTAGATTCTCAATCTCTTCTATATAACTATTGTATTTTTCCGGTTATATGAAGATTAAAAAGAATAAATATTTTCCCCCAAAATCCTACATGGTATCAAAGCATAGGCTCTTAACCTAATCTTCCAATGGCAAAAACTGCCATGGCCGGCGCCAACAGAAGTTCCTCTTCCACGAGAGATGACGCAGAGAGTTCGCAAGACACTTCAGCCACAATCCAAAGCAGTGATGATGGTGTTTCCCTCATGAATCTCCCATCTAATACATTGCAATTGACGGCACACAAATTAAATGGGAAGAATTACTTGTCTTGGGCTCAAACCGTGAAGCTTGTAATCGATGGAAAAGGGAAGTTAGGGTTCCTGACAGGCGAGGCAACGAAACCAGGGGAAAACGACCCAAAGCTAAAGACATGGAGATCCGAAAACTCCATGGTTATTGCATGGCTTATCAATTCCATGGATTACTCGATTGGAAAGTGTAGAAATACTCGGTTAAGGAAATTCTAGAATAGTTGACAATAGTAAATTAGGAATATAGAGATTTCGGATTATTCCCAATATCTCTATTTATGGTAGTTTCTTAATTTCTGGTTTGTGTCTTGTTTTATTCTTTATTTCCAGATTCTATATGGAATCAGTAATTATGTAATTAGTGCTAGGGTGAACAGAGACCTAATGTATAAGTAGGGCTGTACATACATGTTTTTATCAATGAGAGAATAATCATTCCCTAAAAACTTCATGGTATCAGAGCCGCCTCCTTTGATCCTGAAATAGATGACAAAGTACGGCATGACAATGAGCCGCCAGAGTCACTCTCCATCAAAGGTTTCCTCCTCCTCCGAAGCTGTTACCACTAGCAACAATGGCATCTCCGATGGCCTTATTCAGTCCATTACTGGACATAAACTCAATGGCCAAAACTACCTCCATTGGTCACAATCCGTTATGTTGTTTGTCTGTGGAAAGGGGAAAGAAGATTATCTTTCTAGGGCAGCAACACCACTGGAAGGAAAAGATCCGAAGTATAAACTTTGGAAGGCCGAGAACAACATGGTCATGTCTTGGCTTATCAATTCTATGACCAACGACATTGGGGAGAATTTCCTATTGTATGGGACTGCCAAAGAAATCTGGAACGCAGCCAAAGAGACATACTCCAATTTCGATAACTCATCTGAGTTATTTGCCGTGGAGAGCATTCTCCATGATCTGCGTCAAGGTGATCTTTCTGTGACTCAGTATTTTAATACCCTCACAAGGAATTGGCAGCAGTTGGACATGTTTGAAGAACATGATTGGAAGTGTCCTGAAGATGGAATGAAATACAAGAAGATCGTTGAGAAGAAAAGACTTTATAAGTTCTTGTTGGGACTCAACAAAGAACTGGATGAAGTTCGAGGAAGAATCATGGGGATGAAACCACTACCGAGTGTCCAAGAAGCTTTTTTGGAAGTCCGCATGGAAGAGAGCCGAAAGAGGGTGATGATGGGACCTATAGTTGCTGCTCACAGCCCAGAAGTATCCGCCCTTATTGCTCAAGGGCCCCAACACCAAGCTGGAGATTCGAAAGCAAGGAGAGGACGATCTTCGTGTGATCATTGCCGTAAACCCGGTCACACAAAGGAGAACTGCTGGAAAATTCATGGAAAGCCAGCAGATTGGAAGCCGGCAAGGCTAAACAACAGAGAAGGACGCAGCAATCTCGTCTCCAGCGAAACAAATCCTCCACAACCCGAGCAGAATCTGTTCAACAAAGAGCAAATGGAGTTTCTGCAGAAACTGATCAACCCGCACTATGCCAATACCTCAGAAGTTGGAACCGTGTCTCTGGCTCATAAAGCTAATCTCCTAAATGCCTTCAATACAACACGAGAGATGTACAAACCGTGGATTGTGGATTCAGGAGCCTCTGACCATATGACTGGAGATGCAAGGTTGTTCGCCACTTATAGTTCTTGTAATGAGAACTTTACTGTCAGGATTGCAGATGGATCACGCTCAAGAGTCATAGGGAAAGGATCCGTAGTTGTATCAAAGGATCTTACCTTAAACTCCGTATTTCTTGTCCCTAATTTGGATTGCAATCTCTTATCAATTAGTAAACTCACTCATGAGCATAATTGTGTTGCTAATTTTTTCCAAAACTCTTGTAAATTCCAAGACCTGGATTCGGGGAAGATGATTGGCAATGTTAGGATGTGCTCGGGGCTCTATATTCTCAAGAATGACCATCCACGGGGACAACAACCTCACATGGCAGATTCGGACATGCAAAACCAGCAACTTACAAAATTTTCTTGTTATGTTTTTCAATCCAATAATGATAGTGCAATCATGTTATGGCACTATAGGCTAGGCCATCCAAACTTTGTTTACCTTCAAAAACTTGTTCCTTCATTATTCATCAATAAAAGTCCAAAAGATTTTCAGTGTGATATTTGTCAGTTTGCTAAACACACTCGTAATTCATACTCAATTCAACCATACCAAAAATCCCATCCATTCTCAATGATTCACAGTGATGTATGGGGACCTTCTCGGGTTAAAAACATTACTGGAACAAGGTGGTTTGTGTTGTTTGTTGATGATCATACTAGGATTACTTGGGTATTTCTCATGAAAGAAAAATCAGAAGTTGAACAAATCTTCAAGAATTTTAATACCATGATTCAAACCCAATTCCACACCAAAATACAAATATTCCGCACAGATAATGCCAGGGAATATTTTAAAATCTTTCTCGGGGAATACTTACAAAATCAAGGTATTATACACCAAAGTTCTTGTGTTGATACCCCTCAACAAAATGGGGTGACAGAAAGGAAAAATAGGCATATCTTAGAGGTTGTTAGATCACTTATGTTCTCCACCCACGTTCCAAAACATTTTTGGGGGGAAGTCGTACTCACAGCAACCCATCTCATAAACCGAATGCCCTCACGAGTCCTAAACTTTCAAACCCCATGTCAGTCTCTTCTTCTTTCCTACCCAAAGTCCAGACTTCTCTCAACCATTCCATTCAAAGTGTTTGGTTGCTCTGCGTTTGTTCACATCCATCAACAACACAGAAGCAAACTTGATCCTAAATCCCTCAAATGTATTTTTATTGGTTACAGCCCAAATCAAAAAGGGTACAAGTGCTATTCCCCGGTCACAAAGCGATTCTACACCTCAATGGATGTCACATTCTTTGAAAATACACCATACTTTCCCAAATCAGCTATTCAGGGGGAGAATGTACAAGAATACCAGCTTTGGGACATAGATGTTCCATCATCAAGTCATCCTTCAGACCCAGTCACTGGTTCGGCCATCACCACCACTGGTCCGGCCATCACCACCACCATGTCTGTCCCAAATTTTCAATCCGAAAACACTAGTTCAGATGACCTCCCAACCTCAATTCCTATCCAACGTCTGAAACCTGCCAACAATGGTGAGTTCATTGTATATTCCCGAAGGAAGAAAACTCAAGAGGATGTAGAGCAACAAGCACCTCCTGAGCAGCGTCAAGAGGCTGAACTGGATCCAAGAGTTCTTGAGACTCTATCATCAGGTAACACCAGCCCTGTGAACATTATAGACGAGCCTAATATTGATGATCTTGATTGTCCAATTGCATTAAGGAAAGGAGTGCGATCTTGTACTAGTCATCCAATTCACAATTTTGTATCTTATAAACAATTGTCGCCGAACTATCATACTTTTGTGGCAGAATTAGACAAGGTGCAGGTTCCTAACTCCATCCACGAAGCCCTGTCTATTCCAGAATGGAAAACGGCAGTGTGGGAAGAAATGAAGGCTCTAGAGAAGAATGGAACTTGGGAAATTTCAGAGCTACCAAATGGGAAGCATACAGTGGGGTGAGTGGATATTCACTGTCAAATACAAGGCAAATGGTAATGTGGACAGATTTAAAGCACGGCTGGTTGCTAAAGGGTTCACTCAAGCATATGGCATTGATTATCAAGAGACCTTTGCGCCAGTAGCCAAATTGAATACTATTCGGGTATTACTTTCATTGGCAACAAATCTTGATTGGCCTCTCTACCAACTTGATGTTAAGAATGCCTTCCTTAATGGGGACCTTATAGAAGAAGTTTACATAGACATTCTTCCCGGTTTTGAGTCTCGTGCTACTATAAATAAGGTATGCAAACTTAAGAAGTCTCTCTATGGATTAAAACAATCTCCTAGAGCATGGTTTAACAGGTTTCAATAAAACAGTAAGGAAGTATGGATACTCACAATGCCAAGCGGATCACACACTCTTTGTTAAGAACTCATTGGAAGGGAAGATAGCAATTCTCATCGTATATGTGGATGACATCATTCTCACGGGAGACAATGAAGATGAATTGTTCAAACTCAAGACACTACTTGCCAAGGAGTTCGAAACCAAGGATCTTGGAAACCTAAAATATTTCCTTGG